GTGTGAAGACTGTAATTAGAATAAAAATATTAATTTAAGGAATTAGGCAATAATTTATAAATTCACCTCTTTATTAAAAACATGGTTTTTTGAGTATAATTTAAAATGATTTCTGCCCAATGATTAGTTTTTAATGGCTGCAGTATACTGATTGTACAAAGGTAGCATAATCAATTGCTTTTTAAATGAAAGCTTGTATAAAAGAATTGATGAAATTTATACTGTCTTAGGTTAAAAATTTTAATTTAGTTATTAAGTAAAAATACTTAAATGTAAGTATGGGACGAGAAGACCCTATAGAATTTTATATAATTAAAATTATTTGATTGTGTTATATGTGGGATATTTTAGTTATATTTAGTTGGGAGGATTGATAAATTTATTTAACTTTATTTTTTTAATATAATATAAATTATTAATTAAGGATTTTTGATTGGTTATTAAAATTTTATGAGAATTAATTACCTTAGGGATAACAGCGTAATATTTTTGGAGAGATCTTATTGATAAAAATGTTTGCGACCTCGATGTTGAATTAAGATAAAAATTAAATGTAGATGTTTAATATTTAAGTCTGTTCGACTTTTAAAATCTTACATGATTTGAGTTTAGATCGGTGTAAGCCAGATCGGTTTCTATCTATATTAGAGTTTGAAAGTATTTGTACGAAAGGACTATATTTTTTGAATAATTTATATTTATTTTATTTTAGATATAAATAGATAATTGATATGATTATTACTTTGGCAGAGTTTAGTGTATTAGATTTAGAATTTAAAAATATATATGTTTTAGTATATAAGTAATTATAATAAATTATTTTATAATATTAAGTTTAAATATCATTAGATATTTGATAATTTTGTTAATTGTGTTGATAGGGGTTGCTTTCCTAACTTTATTAGAACGAAAAATTTTAGGATATGTTCAAATTCGGAAAGGTCCAAATAAGGTGGGGCTAGAGGGTGTGTTTCAACCTTTTAGGGATGCGGTAAAATTATTTACGAAGGAAATGTTTTTAGTATTTAAGTCTAGTTATTATATTTACTATTTAAGAACTGTTGTTTTATTTTTTTAATGTTATGCAGGTGAATAGTGCATCCGTTTATTACTAATATTTATTTTATAAATTATTCTATTTTGTTTTTTATTGTTATTTTAACATTAATGGGGTATATATTTTTATTAATAGGGGAGGGAGAAAAGATGGCGGAGTGAGAAGTAGTGACGGTGAGAGGCAGGAGAGAAAAGTCGAAGAAAAGCGGAGGGAAACGAGCTGGAGAGGAGAAGAGCACGGAGATGGAGGGAGGATAAGGAGGTGCAATAAGGGAATTGGAGGAGACGCGAAGGAGAAAGGAGGAAGAAAGATAGAAGGAGGTAAAGTGAAGAGGAGGATGAGTCGGCAGAACGGAGCGAAGAAGAAGGACGAGGAGTGGGGAGGAAGTCGAGCGGACGGAGCGAGAGATCGATGGGAGAGGGAGAAGAGGACAGGAGGAAAAGCGCAGGAGAATGATGAGGTACAAAAGACAGAGAATCCGACAGAGCATAGAAGAGGGAAGGAAGGGAGGTCGGAAGGGACGGCGGAAGGAGGGAGAGGAGTGAACAAGAGGTACAAGAGGCTGACGAGTACAGAGAAGCGAGAGATCGATAGTAGGGAGCGGAAGGAGATTGGTCGGAGAGATCGAGAGATCGATTCGGCAGGAGAAGGTATGGAAGGAGAGGAAAGTGCGAGGAGGAAGTGAGACAGAAAATCTCGGGCGGGCGAAGAGAAGGAAATTCGAGTTCGAGTTCGAGCAGTCGAACAAGTGAAAGAGGAGGAGGAAGGGGAAGGGGCCCGGGAGTATGGAAGGTGTACAAGAGGGGCAGGTAGTGCAAGTGGCAAAGCGAGCGGTAAGAGTAAAAGGCAAAGGCAGAGGCGAAATAAGATACGGAGGAAGAAAGTGAAGGAAAGGTGGAGGAGAAGAGGACAGAAGGGAGAAAGTAGGAGAGGAGAAAAGTGAGGGAGAGGCGAGAGAGAAGGAGAGAGAAGGTAAGAAAGAAAGAGGAGAGAGGTGACAGGAGAGAGAGGTTAGGGCAAGGAGAAGGAAGACGGAGACGCGGGAGGAAAACTAAATTGGTTCTTTGTCGATTTCGTCAATACAGGACGGAAAGGAAGGAGGAAAGAGGAACGAGGGCAGTGGACGGGGAAGAGAGGAAGGGGGAGAGAGAGAGAGGGACAGAGTGGAGGAGAGCGAAATCGAGGACGTAGCAGAGGTGGCAAAGGGAAGGAGATGGAGAAGGAGGAGAGAGAAGCGACGGGAGGAAGAAAGACAGGAGGTAAGAGGGAACGAGACAGAGGGAGAGAGGAATGGGAAGAAGAGGTTCTGGAACAGCTTAAGGACCATGACGAGAGAGATAAGAGAAATGAGAGAAGTGATGGAAAGGAGAGAGGAGAGAGAGAGGAGGGAGGAACAGTGGAGAGTGGAAAGATGGACGAGGGAGGCGAGGAGTAGAGAAAGGAGAGAAGGAACGACGGATGTGAACGAGGGGTGGCAGAAGAAGGAAAAGGAGAAGAAGACAAGGATGGAAGAAGGCAAGGATGGAACAAGTAAGGAGGCGGAGGGGAAGGGGACGAGACGGAAGGAAGGAAGCAAAACGACAGGAGACGGAAGACAGGAAGTAAGAGCAGAAGAGGTAGGAGAAGGGAGAGAGGATCAGAGAGAAAAGGTAGGAAATGTGGAACAGGCAAGGAGGGAGAGGGAGAGAACGCGAATCCAGAAGGCAAAGGAAGGAGAGGAGAGAGAGGAGGAAGCAGAGAATGAATGGCAGAAGAGACAGAGGGAGAGAGAAGAAAGAGAAAAGAAGACAAAGGAGCCAAGGAAAGGGTTGAGAGAGGGAGGATGTATGGAGGCGAAGGAGAGAGAAGGGGGAAGGGGAGAAAAGGACGTACGAGAGGACGGTAAAGGGGGGAGGGAAAAGGGAGAAGGGAGGAGGGAGGGACAGGGAAAGATAGGAGAGGGAAGAGAGGGGAAAAGGGAGGAAGACAGAAGGAAGAGAATAGTATGGAGAGGAGTAGAAGGCAAGGACAGGGAGGAAAGGTTATGGAGGATAAGGAGAGCGATAAAAAACACGATAGGTAGGGATATAGAGATAGGGGAGATAGCAGAGAGGATGGGGGAAGGGGGAAGGGTAGTAGTAATTACGGAAATAATGGAGGAGGAGGATAGGGAGGAGACGTTGATGAAAGCAGACTACCTAAGAGCGAAGTGGGGGTTAAAGGTGGACGAGGATTTAAGCATGGAGGAGAGAAGGACGAGGTGGAGGATGGTGGAAAAGGCGAGAGAGGAGAGAAATAGAGGGAGAAGGGTGAGGGTGGAGAACAGGAGAATGTGGGTGGACGGGAGAGAGTGGACATGGGAAAAGGGGACAGAGGAGGGAGAGTGGAGAGTGAGATAGAGGGACGGGGGAGGGAAAGGTAGACAGGACAAAATTAAAGTTCTTGTTATTATAGTTCTTGTTATTATAGGTAGGGAGAAGGAGAAGGAGGAAAGCAGAGGAAAGAGAGGGGGGAAGCAGAATGGAGAATAGCACAGGAGGAACGAGAAAGGAGGATGGAGGCAGAGGCAAGGGAGAGCGAAGGAGGAGAAGGAAAAGGAAGAAGAGACGAGGAAGAAGAGTAACAACGGAGCGGTAGGGGAGGGAGGCAGGGTAGGGAAAACTGGGCGAAAGGGTGGAGGGAACGAGCGTGTATAGGTCGCATACGGCCAGGTCGCGGCAGCAGAGAAAAAAAGGGGAAAGCGTGTAAAGGGTTTGGGTACGCTCCCTAGAAAAGCGCCAATATGTGAGAGAGGCGGTACGGAGGTAGTAATGTAAAGGTTCGGGTATGCTCCTGAAAAGCGCCAAGGCTGTATAGAGAGTGGAATCCTCCTTGGGGGATACACTGTAAATAAAGCTACATACATACATACATATTTTTATTAATAGGGTGATCTACTAATTCTATTTATTCGTTAGTGGGGTCTTTACGTGTTCTTGCTCAGACTCTTTCATATGAAGTAAGTTTTATTATAATTTTGTTAGTTGTGATGATTTTGGGGGAAAGGGCGGAATTTATAAATTTAATAAAATGGCAGGTTCATCTGTGATTTTTTGTTTTATTGTTTCCTTTATTTATAGTTTTTTTATTAGTGTTTTGGCAGAGCTAAATCGAAGTCCAATAGATTTTATTGAGGGGGAGTCAGAGTTAGTTTCAGGGTTTAATGTGGAATACTCTAGCGGCGGGTTTTCGTTAATTTTTATGGCTGAATATGGGATAATTGTTTTTTTTAGATATATAATTTTATTGATATTTACTAATGTAATAATTATGTATACTTTATGATTAGTTATTTACATTAATATAATTGGGGGGTTAGTAATTTTTATGCGGGGGTTATTGCCTCGTATACGATATGATGAGCTAATGTATTTGTGTTGAAAGATTATTTTACCTTTTATTTTAAATTATATATTTATGATTATTGGGTTAAAGTTTATTTTATTTTTATATTATTAATTATGAAAAATTAATAGAAAATTCAATTTTTTTAGTATGTTTTCAAAACATAGACTTTGACAAGATCATTAATTTGTTTATTTATTATTTATAATAATTAATTTTCATATTTTATTTATGGGGGTTAGGAGGATAAAAAAGATAAAATAGTTTAAGGATAAGATTTGGCTGATATAGATGTATGGGAATTCAATTACCTGGGCTCCTGCTCAGGTAAGAAGAATAAAGTTGTTTAAAAATATTCAAAATAGAATTTGAGTTATAAGGTAAAATTTTATAGATAGGGTTTGGAATTTTATTAAAGGTAGAGTATAGAGAATTAAGATGGACCTGAGTAGAGCGACTACCCCCCCAAGTTTATTTGGGATTGATCGTAAGATAGCATAGGCAAATAAAAAGTATCATTCGGGTTGAATGTGGATTGGTGTAATTATGGGGTTGGCAGGAATAAAGTTATCTGGGTCACTAAAAATGTAAGGGTATTGAAGAATAATGATTAGGAAGATTCTTTGAAAGAGTAAAAATCCTAAGATATCTTTAAGG